TTCATTTGGGCCTTTTTTTTTTTTTTTTTTTTTTTTTTGTCTCAGCGCACCTGTTGTGTTGGGAGGGGTAGAGCCTTAGGTATTTTCCAGTGCAGGAGGAACCCATGTCGCTGTGTTGTGATGCTGTATTTCGGGGAAAGGTTCATAGAGGGAACAATGCCACTTGCTTGGCTCCCCACCAGCTTTCAGTCACTTCCCCTGCTACCCACAAGCACACTGGGCCCTTCTGGTGCTGATTCTGGTTAGGTAGGTCTGTGTATGATCTAGGACCCTGTGGGACTCTCCAATGAATTCTATGAGGCTAAGAGTTTCTCCTGCTGCTGCATCCCCCACAGATTTTTACAGCCAGAGGTTTTAAGACTTTCTTTTCCCGTACTGGAACCCTGGGTTACGCAGTCTGTCTTGCTCCCCTGCTGTTCCTCCCAGTTTATCTGCACACAAATATGGGACCACCCTCTCCGCCAGCCACCGCCTCACCAACCTGGTCCTCCAGATACCGCCTAGCAGCGCATCTTCTCTGCCCCCATCTCAACCCCTCCTACCAGTGTGGATGAATGTTTCTTCTTTATCTCCTTGGTTATTGAACTTCCATAGAGTTCAATTTACTGGCAGTTCTGATTATTTTTTGTTTTTAAACTTGTTGTTGTCCTTATTTTAGTTGTATGAGGAAGCAAACTATATCTACCTATGCTTCCATCTTGGCCAAAAGCCACTCCTTTCTGTCTATATCTTTCTTGAAGTCCTCCAAGATTTTCCTTATGTATTTGGGTGGTCCTATGTTGGGTGCATATATGTTTATAATGTTTATGACCTCCTGATGAATTATGAAGTATTATGAAGTGTCCTTCTGTGTCTCTTTTTATGGCCTTTGTTTTGAAGCCTATTTTCTCTGATATAAGTATTGCTACCCTGGCTTTTTCTTTCCTGTCCATTTGCTTGGAACAACTTTTTTCCAACTCTTCATTTTCAGTGTGATTAGATCTTGTTTTTTGTTTTTTTGTTTTTTTGAGATGGTTCTCCTGTAGGCAGCATATGTGCAGGTCATGTTTTTTTCATCGATTCGGCTATCCTATGTCTTTTGATTGGAGCATTTGATCCATTTACATTTAAAGTTATTATTGATAGGTACTAATTCATTGCCACACTTACCCTTTATTCCTGTGTTTTTCTCTCACTCTTTTTCTTCATCTTCTTAAAGCATACCCTATAGCATATCTTGCAACCCAGGTTTGGTGGAGGTGTATTCTTTTAGCCTTCTTTTGTCTGGGGAACTCCTTATTTTGCCTTCCATTTTAATTGGAGCCTTCCTGGGTAGAACAGTCTTAGTTGCAGGCCTTTGCTTTTCATTACTTGGAATATTCTTGCCATTACCTTCTGCCTTGCAGGGTTTCTGTTAAGAAGTCAGCTGCTAGCCTTATCAGAGCTCCCTTGTATATACTTTCTGTTTCTCTCTTGCTTCTTTTTAGATTCTCTCTTTGTCTTTGATATTTGCCATCTGAATTATGATGTGTCTTGGAGTGGGCCTCATTGTATTCATCTTGAATGGGACCCTCTGTGCTTCTTGGACTTGGGTGGCTTTTTCTCTCCTCTAATTAGGGAAGTCTTCCATCATTACTTTTTCAATTATGTTTTCTATCCTTTGCTCCTCTACTTCTCCTTCTGCTAGCCGTATCATAAGTATATTATCACGTCTCGTGTTGTCCTGCAGTTCCCTTAACCCTTCTTCATTCTCTTTGAATCTTTTTTCATTTTCTTGCTCTTTCTGGGAATTTTTTTTCTACCTGTCCTGCAGCTCACCAATTCGACCCCCTTCTTCATTTAGCCTGCTTTTGATTCCTTCTACTGTGTGCTTCAATTCAGAAATTGTATTCTTCATTTCCTCATGGCTCTTATTGACAGTTTTTATTTCCTTTTTCATCCTATTTGCAGTAAGTTTCTTGTAGCTTCCTTGTAGTTTTTGGTAATTTTCTCTGAGTTCACTGAGCTCATCAAGCTTCTTTATATACATTGTTTTGAACTCAATATCTGATAGTTTACTTGCCTCTATTTCATTTAGCTTTTTTTCCTGGAGATTCCTCCTTTCCTTTCGATAGTGGTTTGTGTCTTCATATCCCCATTTTAAGGGAGACTTTTCTTTTTTGCTTCTGCTTCTTAAATTGATCTGCTTTGAATCCCTGTCTTTGTGGTGTGAACTTATATGATATGAGACCTGTGTGATCCAGTGGTGCAGTCTCCTTGATCTCCTAAACTCGATGCTCTTGGAATACCCTTTATGCCATTTATGTTGGCCCTCTGGATATAACTGGGTTTTGATTGTTGTTGGGTCATTCTTTGGTAGGTCCTTCCCTCTAGCTGATCTACTGAGGGTCACTCCACCCACCATGTCTTGTATGCTGCTGTGCAGGTGCTACCCAGAAGAAAACACAAAGCCCAGGAAACAAACCCACACCTGCAAAAATAACTCCCACCCACAATTCCACTATCAACAGCAAATGAACCACTATCAATAGGGTATAAAGAGATTAAGACTACTATAAGAAAGGAGAGTGAAAATGAGAGGACCTACTGAAAGAAAAATGACTTTGAGAGGGTGGAAGGAGAAGTGCTAATAAGAGTAGGGAATCTGAGCAATGAGAAAAGAGGAAGTAAACCTTATATTATAAATAAAAAAGGGAATGAAGAAGGCAGAATGGAGTAAGAGAAGGGAAGCATATAGTATTAGGTTTAAACAGAAATTAAAAAAATAGTGAGAGAGAGAAAGAAAAAGGAAAAAAAGTAAATAAATAATAAAAAATAGGAACCAAATTGGAGAAAAAGATCCACCACAGCTCTATTAACAACAAAAGAGCTAAAATTAATATGGGTGGGATGGGGATAAGAGGGGAGGAAAGAAAAGTAAAGCTTAAGAGATGTCTAGAGGCAAGGAAAGTGATTTTAAGGTGATAAAGACAGAGGGAATACTAAGAGTGAGGAACAAAAACCAGGCTAAGACAGGGAAATATTAAAATTTGAGAAGAAATACCATATGATATCACCTATAAGTGGAATCCAACCAACTAAACAAACAAGCAAGGAAAATATAACCAGCAACATTGAAAGAAAAAACAAACTGACAGAGTCAAGAGGGAAGGGGGAGCAGGGAAAGGGAAGGGAAGGGTCAAGTCAAGGAATAAGTATAAAGGACCCATGGACAAAGCCAAAGTGGGGAAGAACTGAAGGAAGGAGGTGGAGGAGGGGGGCAGGGGAAAGTGGTGGGGGGAAGGTAGAGACAAATGTCCTTGAACAAAAAATAAAAATTTTAAAAAATTTGATAAGAAAAAGAAAAAAGAAAAACAGCAGAATGAAAGAGAAAAAAAAGAAAAAAACAGGCTAAGACAGGGGAAAATTAAAATTTGAGACAAAAAAGTAGGAGAGGGGAACAGTAAAATTCGAGATTTGAAATACAAAAGTAGTGAAGATCTAGAGATAAAATTTTAAAAATACAACAAAACTACCCTACCCACAACCAAAAAGCAAAGATTGCTAAAGGTGGAGAGAGAACGTGGGTATTTTAAGAGTGGAAAAAGGAATGTGAGATGACCATGGACAAGGAAATTGGTTTTAAGAGGATGGACAAAGGAGAAATAGTAAGACTGCAGAATGGAAACAAGGTACAGCAAGAAAGAAAACAAAATTTAAAATGAAAATATTAAAAGGAAAGAAGAAGGTAAAAAGAGGGAAGGACAAAAATATGTGAATTAAAATAAATTATAATATAAAATCTAGTGACAATATGCACAAACTTGAAGTACAGGAAATGAATGTCAAAAAGCTATGCAGGAAAAACAATATTGCAAATCATGGAGAAGACCATGGTGTATTTCGTCTCGGTAGCATCTAGTATTTACCATTTCTTTTTCTTTCTGGATCTGCCTCTGGTGATGTCAGATGGTGAACCCATCTGGCCTTAGGCAGTCTGTTAGAGACTACCAGGTATCTACTGTCTGTGGCTGACTCCTTCAGTTGTTAATCTAGTCACTCTGCACTCAGCGGCCAGGCTTAAGCACCATACGTGGGACAGAGTCCCTCCTGAGTCCCTTGCTTCTCCTCAGGCTGCTGCCACTCAGAGGGGTAGGGTCTGCCAGAACATGATGGCTGCTACAGTATGGGGGATGACTCAGCACCAGGATCCTAGTGGTTGCTCTCAGCTCTCTCCCCAAAGCCTCCGTCCCCAGTCTCTCCTCAAGTGTCTCTAGTCCACTCTGCTCCCACCCTTTGCTGTAGCCCAAGGTAAGTGGTTACAAATAAAGATTTATATGTTGTCCCTTTAAACAGCTCTTTGCATCTCCAGCCATCTGTCTCTAGCAGAGAGAGACCCTGCCGCTTTTCGCAGCTGGATGTTATCTGTGTACTTTTTGGGATCTGGTGCTCTAGATTGGGGACCCCAGCTTAGGGATTAGATACTGCACTTCTCAGGGGGATCTAGCTGGCCACTTAAATAGCCCTCCGGCACTTCAGCTGCCGTCTGTGGATGTCTAGTCAGGCCTCTCGGGTCTCCCTCACACTCCCTACCAGTCACATTGTGTTGAAGCTGTTTTTTTTTTCTTTCTGTCCATGGTTGTAAGGCTTTTCTCTTGCTATTGTTCAGTTGCTTGTCCCGGGTGATTTCTCCACAATTTAGTTGTAATTCCAGATTGGTCCTGGGAGGAGGCCAGCGTGACTGCCATTCATTCCTCTGCTGTCTTGGATCTCTTGCTTTATATTACTCTTAAAGAATGGCGTGTAATCCTGTTTTTCCTAATATTCTCTTCTGTTTTTGTGACGAAAACTATACAGTCAATCTGTTATAACCATACTTTCATAAGTGAAAATGATAAAACACATTAATTAAACTTATTTAATTGAAACACATTAGGGCTTGGAGAAACCTAAGAAGTCAAACACTCCAATTTTTTCATTTCTGGAAATAGAAAAGCAAGGATAACCAAGGGTCTTCCTACAACAGTCTTCCTTATACTCACACTTGGCGAAATGTATTTATCATCTTCATCAATTTCTAATGGAACAGCAATCAGTTTTTGGAAAGCCTTCTTCATTTTCTCTCGATCTCCAACAGCAAAGTAACTGAGAATGAGGTTGAAGCCGGCCTTCAGGTTTGGTGCCATGCTCATTATGTGCTCAAATGAATTAATGGCATCAGAGTACTGGCCAGTTTTAATAAATGCAACTCCAATGTTCTGCATAATTTTAATCCTAAAGAGAAATAAACAGGGATCAGCTTTAAGTCTGAACTCCTCAGTACAGTAGTCAAGACATTCTACAGATAGTTTTCATATTTTCTTTCCTACTTGACTTTTTTGTTGTTGTTGTTAAGGCTTTACTGAGGCTAAATTCACATATCATAAAATTTCCTTGTTTTCAGTATCCAATTCAATGATTACTGCTATGTTCACACAGTTGTGGAACTATAACCCTGGTCTTATTAAGTAATTTCTGTCACCCTAAAATAACAACAACAAACTGTGCCCATCAGCAGTCACTCCCATTCTTGCCTCCAGCTCTGGGCAACATTAACCTCTTTTTTGTGTGTCTGGATTTGCCTTTTCTAGATGCTGCATTTAAGTGGACTCATACAAATGTGATATTTTGTGTTGGTGTCCCTCAATCAGCAAAATAATCTTTTAAATGCTCCTCATATTGTAGCATGTGTCAGCATTTCTTTCATTCCTTTTATATTGCCAAATTGTATTCCATTGTATGAACATACCACATTTTATTCATCCATAGCCTACCTGATGGACATTGATTGTTTCCATTTTGGGTGATTATGAATGACGCTGTTATGAACATTTGCATATGATCCCTGTGGCAACATGTTTTCACTTTCTGGGTTACGTACCTGAGAGTGGTACATACAGTACGACTGGTCATATAGTAAATCTGTATTTAACTTCTTAAGATATTGACTAATTATTTTTCAAAGTGGATGTACCATTTTACATGACCAAAACATGAAGTTTCCAGTTTCTGATTTCTCTTCATCTCTTCAATAGTTGTTGTTCATCTTTTGATTACAGATATTCTAGGTTATGATCCCATCTTATCTAACTACTCCTCAACATAATCCCTCTGTTTCAACTACATTTATTCATTCATAGTTCTCTCACCAGATCATAACCAATGATCTCTCTCACTCTTTTCATTCTGTTCCCTTTGAAACATTTCCTCTTCTCTCCACTTACGTCACCATTCTCCAGTACACCTCCTTCAGAAGGTCTTTCCTGACCATTCTTGTTCTCAATGATTATTTCCTCAATGTAATTAACTACCACACCTCTTGATCTTGATTATTAAGCACTTAATATATGTTGTCTAATATTATTACCTTTTCTAAAATGCTCCAATTCTTGGCTTCACCTGGGTTAAAAGTACTTTAAGGACACTGTTTTATAAACCAGATATTTACTGATGATAATGAGGTATCATGCATAATTAAAAAACAAATGATCATGGAAGGTGGCATTTACAAATAAATTAACTATCACATTGGGAGTGTACTGGGCCTGGGGGAAATTATGACAAGTAAATATCCTGGAAACCTATGTTCCTCCGGTTATTACCAGTCCATAAGGTAATTTACTGTCTGCTCTTGAAACATTGTAGGAATAGAAAGTATCCCTGTTTCCCCCTCCAACCTCCTCTTCTAAGATTCAGAAGCAACCCCTTCCTTCCACAATTTCACTGTCAATCTATAGCACAAATGTCTGAGTGCCTGAATTTCTAGCCTGGCATTCTAGAGTCTGGTGTGCTGTAAAGGACTAAGTTTTGATTTTGTGCTGGCAGTTAGCTGTATTTGGTGGTTATCCCTTATATAGGCTAAGTAGCTTAGTTTTATCTCAATTGATCATATACTATGCCTTTAACTTGCCATTATACAAATGTGTGCAAGTATAGATAACACATAAATCTAATACTTCTCATGTACAAACACCTCAAAACATTCAACCCACTGACAACAGGTCAAAAGAGTTATTTGTTTCTGAGATACAACACAAATTTTACAAAGTTATTATGTAAACTCACCTCATTTCTTTATGTACACTTGGAATTTGATCTAATGCCATCCGGTAAAATTTAATGGCTTTGGAATAATTTCTTTGCTTTAAATAAATATTTCCCATATTCACTTTCAATCTTCCTAATTTTAAAAAAATGCATGAATGTGAAATAGTCTATGTTATTCATTTTTCTATATTTTACATAACTTTAATTCATAGTCATTCACACTTCTCTCAAGGTATAAAGGTTCATACACTACCTAAGAGTCTGCCTTTAAAATAGTCATACTATTTTCATGAATCCACACACTAATTCAATGTGGAAATGGAACTTAAGACAGAGGGACTGCTGAAAATACAGCTAGAAAAAAATTGATTTACTTTAGAAAACTGGAGTTGTGTTCTTCTAAGATAATGTGGGATTTTAAAATTACACTAAAAAATGCCACATACATTTCAATGATATTAATAAACTTTAATAATGCTACCAAAAATTACACAATAATATACATGCTAGATATAAACTATAACCTCTTTGGAATGAATTATGTAAAAGGAAACACACTCAATGGAATTGCCATGACTCATTCTACTTGTGATGACAGAATACATTTTTTTGTTTACTATTAGGTAATTTACTGGATTGGCCAAAAAGTCTGTTATTTTTTTTCTGTATGATAGCTCTAGTAGTGCTTAGTTGTTTTTAACTTCATTTGAAACAATTTTGTTAGATTGTATTGTGACAGCTGTCACATCAGCATGCATTTAAACAAAGTTTATCAAAATTGGTGAATTTTTGTGAAGACATTTTAATATCGAAGATGGGAAAACATGTGCAACATTTTTGGCATATTATGCTTTATTATTTCAAGAAAGGTAAAAACACAACTGAAAGACAAAAAAAGATTTGTGCAGTGTAGGGAGAAGGTGCTGTGAGTGATCCAATGTTTTGAAAGTGGTTTGTGAAGTTTCTTTGTACTACTGACATTTTGGCCAAATAATTCTTTGCTGTGGAGCTGTCTTATGTATTAGAAGATGTTTAGCAGCATGCCTGGCCTCTACCCACTAGAAGCCAATAGCAGGAGGTAGCCGACATACTCAAAATATCCAAGTTAATAAAGTTATCGGTGAAAATGAAAAATGTGTTTTTTATTTTATGGAAAAAACATAATGGGCTTTTTGGCCAACCTAATACCTCATACCAACTGTATTTCCTCATTTGCATTGGTGTAGATTTTCATATTAGTAGTATCTTTAAACAGGACACCTCTATATAAATACAGATTTGTTTTAGGACATAGATCGTTTCATTGTAAGAAATCATAAACTGAGGAAACATAAATGAACACTACAAAAGAACTATGCTTACTAGACAAACTGACTATAAACACCTACCTGCATTGGTAAACATCTTATTCTTTACTATAACTTGATATGTGTTTAGTGCTTCAGCATACATTTCATTAGCTGAATACTGACTGGCCAAGTTGAAAAGAACCTAAGGGGAAAAAATATTGCAAAAGATACATAATGACCATTTTAGGCCCCTTTTGCCTATAATCTTTCTAGAGATTAAAGTCCTATAACAAAGTTAGCTGCTTAAATCAAGACACCCAACCAGTTAGGAAATGAAGTTGACAGAGAAAATCTTGTATTCCAAATGAACCACAACATTCAGATAGGTAAGGCTGACCTCTGAATTTCACCTTAATTTTCTATGTATTCTTTCTAATTTAGGTAGTATTTGCCATCCATTAATCTCAGGGAGACCTACGAAGAGTAATTGTGTTTTGTTAATGTTGCTGGTGATAGAAGGAATAAGGGAGATAGTGAACCAAATTCTTTTCCTAAGTATAAATTACATTTTATATAGAAATATCTTAAACCTTTATTTGAATAGTGATTCTCTATATGAAAAATTATAATTTAAGTGGAGGGATTGAGCAAAAAAGAAAAAAAAGAAAAAACTTGTGGACATGGACAACAGTGTGGTGATTGTGGAGGGGAAGGAGTTGGGTGGAGGTAGAAGAAGGTATAGGGGAGATAAATGGTAATGAAAAAAATACAATAAATTAAAAAATTAAAAAACTATTTCAAAAAATTATATTTTAAGTTATTAATTTATAGCAAATTATCTTTCTAGAGATAAAATATGGTCATTATAAATTGATAATGGAATTAAAAATATTAGCTATAGATAGTAAACATCTAAAAATTCTTCTCATCAGTTTCAAATGTCCCTTTTCCCATGTGTTTGGCATATGAAGACTTGTCCAACTGAAAATACACCTTTTTAAGCAGCATTATCAACATCAAGGAACTGCCTTTTCAGAATTAAAGAAATTTTGCCAGAAATTATTTGTTTATTTATTTTACTCTTCTCATACAACATTGTCTTATTTGCCTTGTTTGAAGATCTTGAAAATCACAGAACAAAAAGTCCACAAAAGAATCTCATTAAAGTAACCACAATGAACAGAGTATAAATAGTAGCAGTCTTCACAAAAGAGAGTCATTCATTGGCTGGTGGGTTTGTGAGTACTGAACTAAGTTATTAAAAACATCAAGCTAAATAAAAGAAAATCTTGCACATACTAAAGAGAGTGTCTTATGAACTCTCATTCAAAGGAAGGTTACTATTAATCAAATTCTAGGCAGCAGAGGTTCAATAAGATTTTAAAAATAAAAGGAAACATGAAATAAAAAAGGTAAAAGATTTCTGGAATCTGAAAATCCTAGCCAAAATAATTTTACACAACAGGTAATTCATACTTACTGAGTAAGTTAAATCCAGATTGATGTTTTCTGGAGTTGTCACTTGTTCACGTTGCCTCACCAACACTCTCTCTTTTCTTCCTGCATCTTTCGCTTTTTCTAATGCCTAAAATCAAGTTTATACTCTGAGCATTCATTATGAGTATCTGTGCATTTGGGAAACACCTGCCTGCATGTAGCTGAGCCATGGATGCCTGGTACTGCCAGTTATCATATACTCCCCTTGACAACAAAACACCCAGACAATTTGTTTAAACTGGAGCTCAGTGTCATAAAAATATGTGCCTATTCTGGAAGGGACAAAATGTACAGTAGTTTTGCCCTAAGTGCAGTCTCTTCATCACCACACCTTGCACCATTTTTAGGTTTGATCGTCTTTGATTTCTTTCTTTCCTCCCAACTCCTGAATCTTTGGATATTTTCATTCCGTCTTGTAAGACAAGAATTTAGGTGGATTTGTTTGGTTTTTGGGATGCCCAAAATCCAGACAAGTCATGAGATAACTGCTACTCAATGTTACTGCAGATGCTTAGTTTGGCTCTCACTTTCTACTTAGAATGCCAGGAACCTTCAATTTCTACTGAGGGACTAACTACAGACAGGTTAATTCAACAGATTTTTTTTTTTAGAACTAGATTTTAAAAACCACCAGTCCTGTGAGCAACAAAAGTAGCTTTCCACAGCAAACAATTCTTCCTAATGGTATTCATTAATCAGATAACGAAAGTCACAGAAATTATCTTCATTAAGTAGAACAATCAAAGTAATGTGAACAAAAGCAGATTAAAAGAAAATATTTAATAATTTTAAAAAAGCAAAGTAGGATTCCCAACAAGAAAACAATGATTTTGCAGTCTACTTAGGGAAAAATACTTTAGAGTAGTGAGGCTTAAATAAGAAAAGAGTCTTTTGTACTGTGTGTGTATGATGGTAGCTATGCCTTTCAGTAGTTTTGAGTCTAATCCAACAGTCTACCAGCCTGCAAAATTTAATCAACAAATACATTAGAATTCATTTTCCCCTACTGAAATGATCAGTGTCAAAAATTATAAAGTCAGACAACTTTTTTGACATCAGAGCTTATGAAGTAGACTTACAATTGGAGGTTCTCAAAACAATTTTCAGTGAAAACTCTAAAGCCAGTCAATAGCAAAACAAAAATATTTATATGTATGTTTGCATATGTGCATATATAAAACCAGATACATACATAAACATACTTCATAATCCTGTAAACTTACCAGTTTTAAGTCTCCACAACTGTTGGCAATACAGCTTTCTTCTACCAATTCATTTACTTTCTTCTCTAATTGTCTAATCTTTTCTTCTGGACTATTAAAGAAAAGAGCAGCTAATCATTCAATCACCAATAATATATATTGATACTAAGATTTAATTTACTTTTAACATTTTTATTATAAGTGCTTTTAAAAGTGAAGAACAGGTCATAGATGAGACAAATGTATAAATGTCATTAAATAGCAAATGTACCATTGTTTTTAATAGTTATATTATGTAATTATTCAGAATAACAGTAAAAATAGTTAACATTTACTTAGCATAAGTGTAATTTCATACTGACCAACATGCTTTACCCTAATTATGGCATTTAATTCTCAAAATCACATTTGATACAAATACTATCATTATTTTTCTTACTAATAGGGAAACTAAGGTTTAGAAAGTTAAGTGCTATGCCCAAGATCACATAGCTAGGAAGTTAGAGAGCCAGGACTTAAATGCAGTAAGGTAAGTCTGGAAGCCATGCTGTTGTATATATCATCCCCAAGAGAAAGCAGATCCTTTTTTCAGATGTGTGGCAAATGGGAACTTTATCTGGTGGTTAGGAAAACTGAAGCCCTCCATAAAAGAAGTAACATAACTATTATTATTTACTACCAGATAGACACTGAAGAGAAAGTTTCTAACAGTGAGAAGTTTAAAACCCCTGACTCTATTGTAGCAAACACAGCACCTCTATTCAGTCACCTTTCAAAAATGACATCTGTTTCTTTTTGCTGCCACTTGCTTCTAGCAAAATACCACAGGACTCCAAATGCACATCCGTGTCTAGATATTTTACTAGGAGTACATCAAAATACATTGTATTTCTCTTAATCCTCCAGAAATGGGATCTTTAAAAAGAATACAGTAATAAATTTAACAGCATAGCCTTGTCTATAGGATCATATTCTTCAGTGGAGCCTGCCAACAAATTTTATCAGGTGGGATACAGAGATCTATCTGCAAAATTCTCACTGAACAATGAGCGTAATACACGGTAATTTCATAAAGTTTACAACGAAGTATAGAATTCTATTTTCTGGCTGCCTGAAACACTAATAATGTTGCTGATAGTTTGTTATTATAAAACCTAAAATATCAATGCAAATTTTAAAACAAAAGTCTGTAAGGGAACTTTATGAAGACACTCAAAGTAACTATCCTGTCCCTATCAAATGTCAAAAAAACGGACTCTGTATGGAGAAAGTGCTGGACATACTCATAAAGCGCCTGCCACCCACCCTTCCTTGCACACAGGATCTACGCCCACCAAGTCTCATTCTGTTACCAAATGTTTGGTTCAGTAATAGGCAAGTGGTGCTTTTCTGCCAATGAGAAAGAAGTGAAGACACATCATCTTGGAGTGTAGGGTCCTGGAAAGATTTTCTTTGCTTTTTAAAAGGGACCTGAGACTGGAAATTTCTGACTCCAGCTAGGCTTTATTAATGAAAATTTTGAACTCTCATGGCACTCTTCGCATCGCAAGGATGGGCAGGCTCTTGAGAAGAGCGATCAGAGAGAACCTGCACCAGGGCTGATGTTACTTAGAAATTAAATTAACCATCCTTAGGACTGCCCTTCCTCTAGACTTTCTGTTAATAACATAGTAAATATTCTTGCTGTGTATGTTTCTGATGTATCTTCTGCTGTTAGCAGCTGAAAAGATCCATAATGATATAATATTTAAATAAAATAACATACTTTTATTAGCAGACATGCTGTAATTAACTAGGATACAAAATAAACTGGTTTCCTTTCTTTCTTTCTTTCTTTCTTTCTTTCTTTCTTTCTTTCTTTCTTTCTTTCTTTCTTTCTTTCTTTTTTTATCAGAGAACATGCTTTATTGAGGAATAGATATAGAACAGCACATTCTTCCACATGTAGGGAAGGGTTAGCTTCTGTAAAATGCCTTTACTCCTTAAGAAAACTCCCAGTGAAGTTGCTTTTGGATAAATTTTAAGTGACACTGAAATTGGCGGGGAGCTGCCACTGAACATGCTTAAAATTAGCTCCCCCCAACCTGCAGTAAATATAAGTAGTATACAGAGGTAACAAGAGAAAGGCACAAATGACCAGAGTTGGGATTGTGGTGAGGGCTCCACATGAAGACAGCAGTGCTGTAGATGACCAAGTTGGGAAGGGTGATATGTCATACATCAAAAGCTGCCCCAAGATAGCAGGTTATAATGGGCCAGAGCAAAATTAGAGGGAGCATCTATTCCTTCACTCAGATGCCAAAAATAGGAGACCAGAGAATAGGGGGATGGTGGCAAATCCCAAAGAGGAAATGGAAAAGGAGTTCTTGGAAGGGCATGAGCACTTCAGTCCAAGAGGGAGTGTGAGGTGCTATTGAAAAGAGAAGTAAACATGGTAGGGTGACGATTCTGCCTTGATGAGTCATGAGCTGAGATACTTTTCAATCAGATTCTACATCTCCAAGAATGTTCAGACAAAATCAGTGCAACTTATGTGGAAATATAGGTGTGTTATATCAGACTGGTACTGGTGAAAAGGTTTTTGCAGTTAATGAACCGGTTAACATGCAGCACAAAAGTAACTGAAAATTATTTTGGCACCTGTAAACATAAAAAGGGGCAGGAAGTAAGGAGGGAAGAAAACATTTACTACTGGGCACTTTCTGGTGAGGCAAAAAAATACTCATTCCCTTCCACCAAGACGTGGTCCACTGCTCACAGTGTAACGGGGCACAGCCAGGGCCCCCACCAAAGGGTTTTTGTAATGGGGTCCAGAGATTGGGGTGTCCAAGAAAAATTTATTCTCCCCACCCCAGGGCAGGCCACCATGGGGATGGGAGCCTTTAGCAGGGCCTTTGAGAGCCATTTTGTATGTCAATAACAGGATAGCTTCATTCCTCATATGCAAAGAGGGTTATTTTGCATATCATCTAAGCTAATCAGGAAGGTTAAAAAAGACTTTATACAGAATGTAACTGAGAGAGAAAGAGGAGAGACAGGGGCCTGCAGGAGAGAACAAGGGACACAGACTCTGGGGAACAATGTGAAGACCAGGTGGGAAGAAAGAGGGGAGAAAGGACTCTTGCTAGTGGGCCATGAGAAGGTGCTATGTGGTTATGGATTAAAAGCTGGAGATCGCGGCAATGCAGTGGATGGTGCTGAGACCCGCTAGAGGCCTGCCCAGCCGAGCACCGGACTTCTGTTCTTTTTTTCTTCTGAAGGACGGTACCCTGACTGGCCTCACTGGCCTAACTGGGCAAAGGGGAGAAGGCAGGGCGGTGTGTGTGCTGGTGATTGTTTTGAAGGGATTTTGAGGTTTAAGGGTGACATTTAGCCATTAATCAAACCTGTATAACTTTTGAATAAATAGTTACTTTTTCTTTTCACCAAACTCTGCCATTCAGAGCCATAATTCCAAGGGCGGAGGGCAAAGGACCCACAACCGAGGGACCCCAGGGAAGGGGGTGTCGTTGTTTCAGTAATAGTATCTGGGCACCGCCCCACAGGTCCTTTTGTTCGGTAACAACAGGTGAACTCAACACAAAATACAGAATCACCACTTCTTACTCCTCTCCATCTCCTTCAGATAGATAATGTGCTGTTACCAAGACTAATTCCAGGGTGGGGCTTCCAAAGTATTTGGCTCTGGTCAGCCTGATACTGATCAAAACAGGTCATTCCATAAAAATGGAGGAAAATATTTAAAGTGAGATGAAATCCAGAGGGAATAGACCCCTCCCAGCACACACAGTCAGAAGTGTTACCTCTTCTCTGCCCATCCAAAAAACACATGTAAGGAATAATGAGAATGGTCCCAGCAGTGGCAACTATTATTTGGAGGTCTGGCAACCAGGTATTAAGAAACACTATTACAAAGTTTAGAAAAGACAACACAACCTCATGGAGTAAGAAAACATGAGGAGAGAACTGGTGATTGGACAGGTACAATACCAAACAGAAGACCTTGGGTCAGTACTACAAGGGACTGGTACTCAAGTCTAATATAGATCCCATCCAGGCAACCTCACTGAGGCAAAAACAATTGTTCCTCAGAACCAGCATCTGCAGTGTACATGAAGGTCGGAGCCAGGACAGTCCTGAGGGGCATCGCCTTCCCAAAGGATACTGTACTTGCCAATCACAAGAGCAACAGAAATGACAGATCCCTAGGGTACGGATTTCTGCTGTTTGCTGGCTCAGAGTAACAGGTCACTTTAAGTGCTCTTGGGAGGGGTCCATTTTAAACAGCTGAGATCCATGGTTTTATTGGAGTTGGGGCTCTTGGCCTTTTTGGCTATCCACTCATCAGTCAGGTCCTGTCTCTTTAAAACTAGGTGTTTTCCTTTCCATCTGAAGGGTTTGCAGAGTGCTGACAATGTGTACAGTATTCACAGCTGTCTCCTGGCTAAATTCTTTGATAGAAATCTCTTTACCTTGGAAATTGTGCAGGTAACAAAGAACTGTGACAGCTTTTGAGCCCCAGGCCTGAGTGGATGTTCTGGGGAGCCAACTTTTTCTTCCACTTTGGGAAGCAAATAACTGAAATCAATGGGCATCTTGCCATAGTCCTGTCTCATGTACTGAGGCATGGTAACAATACAGGATATAGGATACATTATAGTTGAGGAATGAATTCTTCTTGGAAAAATATCTAATCAGATGACAGCCAGTGTCATCCACTTCTGTCATAACATAGAACAGGAAGGTCTCCACATCATAATACAATGTCTTCTGGTCCAGAAAAAGCTTGGCCAACAGGCATACGTTTTGGCAGTAGATCTTGTTTTTCTTGCCATCCACATCAAACATGGATATTGACCCTTTGCAGTATATCTCATCACTGGGTGGGTGTGTCCACACATACTTAGCCATGCATTTGTGGAGTATCATTTGGCTCTTCATGTGTTTTAAACAGAATTCACACATATAGAGATGTCCCAGTCATATATATTCTTCAGGATGGGGAGAATGGTACCAAGTATCAAGCTCATAGTGACCAAAAGCAATTGTTTTAATCATGTTGCTCCCCTCTGTGATTTGGCCTTGAAGTCTTAACTTCTTCAAAGCCTCTGAAGCCTGCTTGTGCTCTTCAGAAAAGATCCAACTCACACTCACAGTCAAGTTTTCCAAAAGAGGTTCCTGAGTGTTCCCATAAGTCTGCCTGTGTCCCATGGCACTCACTACAAGTACCCTTTCACAGGAAAAATAAACTGGTTTTCTATAGAGGTTCCTTGTTACTTGAAAAGGGAAGGAAAATTAGGTAACTTATACAATAGTCCAAATACTAAATTTAAGGATTACAACTTAATAATACCTACTATATAGAAGTAAAATAGTGTAGTGGTTAATAGCATGAGCTCTGAAAATACCCTGGGTTCACATCTCAGTCCTTCCATTTAATTAGTGCTACCAAGTCAAGATTTCTGTGCTTTAAATCTATGTATAGTACTTGCACAGTGCCTGCCACGCAGTGTGTACTCATTAAGTGTTTGCTTCTAAAACTATTTGTAAAATGCACACATCAATGGTGCCTAGATACCATAAATATATACAGCTGAATTTGTACCATAGCTTTTTGGCTACTTTCTAACCACTAACGCAAAATTAAGTTAATACAATAAAAATTAAGTTTCTCAATATTGAAATGACTAACTTCTTATATGTTCTCATAATTCTTTTCTTTGAAATATCCTTTTTAAATAAGCATATCATATTACATTTACAACCCCATTTGGCCTTCAAGAGAATCAAGATTGGGCTCTATAAAAATTAGATATATCTTCAAGTTAAATAATATTATAATAAAACTACACAGGATACACATGGCTCTTTTTCTTAGGCTTGTTTCTTTTGCTGCTTCCAAGGACTCAGGATGATGTTGTAATTACTATTCTGCTGACACAAACTTTTAAAATACTTAAGAATTATGTACTTGGAAAATAAAAACATATGCAACAACAATAAAACAACAGCATAAGGACTTACATACCTATCTTCATTTTTGGCTTCCAAAGGAGGAGCAGGGCCCCTTGACTGACCAAGGGGATCAAATGCAGACCCTGAGACATAATTCAAGAATTCATATTTAATCTGCAACTCAGCATAATTGAAGAAAATATGAAAGTTTGCACAGTTATTTATTTATTAAATGGGCTGCATTACCAATTTATTAAATAGCTAGACTTTTATAATGTCTACATAAACATTTTGATTATCAAGAAATTGGTGAGATTTTTAACATACATAAAACTATGTAAACAAAACTTGTGTTAACATATAAAAACAAAAATGAGATGCTCTCTCAGTATTTATTCCTCCCCCACAGTAATCTATTCCTATTATGAACTCTAGATTATCAATCGTGTGAGCAACAACCTGGCATTGGCCTTTTAATTGTTCTTATTGGTAAATGTACATTAACTTTTGTCACAATAATTTTATTTTTAAATTATTATTTATATTTTATATTTAAATACTATTTTTACCTTTACTTTAAAAAAACTGAATTCTAACTTATGTAAAATAAAACATGATTTTTAATGTACAGTTGGTACAATCTGAGAAGTAATATGCCAGTGCAACTACCACCCCAATTGGGATGTAGAGTATTTTCATCACCCTTTTTCTTTCTTATGGTACCTAAAATAATGGCACACCTCATAATCAATGCAGTGTTAGATTTTAAATGGCAATAATATTTACACATATAAAAATAGTAAGAAATATGAAAAGATCCGAAAAAAATGAGTAGAGACAATATAACAAACCTCTCAAAGCTGCTTTCGTAAAACCTGCTGCTCTCACTGCTGTCATGGGTCTAGTAACTCCATCCTTAAAAGAACAGGAATCATTTTAAAGTATTTACAGTTCTGCAATTGGCACATACCTTAATATAACCCCAATTTTAATACTGATTCTTAATCACTACCTGCTTATTCTGTGCTTCTGCCCCTCTATGTCAACCCTGTCTCTATTTTCACTTTCTCATGCAAATGTATAATCCCTTGTTCTAATGGGGCTTACTCCACTTGAAAAGAAAAAAAATAAAAAACCTCATGGGTTTTTACATAGCACCTTATATAGCCTGTTAGCTGTCTGCTCCCCTACTTTTCGTTGGTATCCTCTATGCCCATGAGAAAAATCACAGACCTGGTTGTAAATGACAGGAAAAATGGGTCCCACAGTGTACCACACAAGCAAACCATCAGTCCACATCCACTCCCCAGTGGGATCTCATCTGAAGTTTCAGGAAGTCCAGAGACTTTGCCCTTAAAGGTTTCAAATAGTCCAACATGTAGCCCACACTTTAAATAATCAGGGTCATTTTATCAGTAACATCTTCTTTAACATTTTAAAATAATACAATAAAGAAAAGAAAACTTTAGTAATAATATGCTAAGTCAAGAGAGAAGCCCCAAATGATCAACCACCTGACAGAAATACCTGGATAACCCCTGTCACTGGTCTTCCTCCCATTGATGATGCCAGGGATGTTTTGGACTAGTAAACAGAAAAATTAGTTAAAATAATTTTTAAAATATCTACACTTAATTTTATAAACAAAGTTATAAAACATTTTTTATAACTTTTTTCATTCTATTGGCAAATGAACCTAATCACAATCTTCCATGTATCATCTGAGGACACAGGATCAAACAGTAAAACTCTAAAGCAGGTATCAGCTAACTACAACCCTCAGCCTTGTAAATAAAGTTTCCCTGGGCACAGCCATGCCCATCTGTGGCTGTTCCAGCACTACGAATGCAGAGTAGCAACAGAGACTCTCTGGCCTGGAAGCCTAAGCCCTCACAGAAAGTATTTACTTTCTCCTATTCTGAAACAGCACCAAAAATCGAATTTATAATTAATACATATGTGGGCTGATTAATAAAGGCATGTTTCACATAACACACAGTCATACCATATTATGTATAAAGGCTACTTTCTTCATTCATATAAAGGGAGAGCATGAAGGCAAGTGCCCTGGACCTCTAGGTTCTGAAACCATTTTTCTGACCTCTAAGAACTATTATTATTCTGCCTCATTCTCTCATGTTTTTCCAGTTCCTTTGTAAGCTAAAAATATCCAAATTTGGGCAACATTTAAAAGATTTTCCTTTATGGATTTTTATATAGCATCTTTCCTCCAAATACCACAAATAAAAGTAATGCCCAAATATATGCCTTTGAAATTTTTCTTAAATTTTACTTTTTATATTATTTATTTAATATTTTTGTTACCATTTAGTCCCCTTATATCCCCAGATTTTACTTTTTAATGATTTAATTAGTAAGTTTTTGAAAAATTACCAACATATTTACATTTATATAACATGTAACTTCACATAAAATGTATGAATGGAGTACACATGAGACTTGGTTATATTAAATATAAAAATGAAGAGAAGTCAACCAACACACACAAAGTTTACAATTAGAAAAAGGTAATAAACTATTTTTTGATATATTTATGATCAAAATGACTAGAATATTCAAAGCTATTAATCAAATGAGACTTTATACTGTTCATAACTATTCAAAACAGAAAATATATCTGGGGCATGGACTGAAAGATAGCCAAAATTATTAAGAACTGCCTAAAATGAACTTCTATATATGAAAAAGCATCTTAATATTTTCAGCTTAAGAAAACCTACCCCATATCCAGTAGCTACAGGTCTAGTAACTGCTGTGCTTGGTATTTTAGCAGTTATCTTGCGGAGGAAAAAAAAACATAGTTAATAGAATTCAGATTAGGCTACACAATAGAAAACAGGAAAAGAAGTGGGAAATACAGACTTGTCAATAGAGAAATGTTTATATAATATTTAGAATGATTTCCTTTTAAATTATCCTACATATTAAGGAGCTCAGGAATTTTAGGTATGGAGAAGGAGACTTATTATTCTGGATTCATTTCACAGGAGAAAAGGGATTTTAAGATGACCCAAGGTGCCTATAGCAAAGATCAGTTTTCATGGTTGCTTCCATCATTTATCATGCATACTTATTACTGCCAGCCACGAGGTCTAACAATAGACAGGATTTAGAGCCAGAGAATCTGGGTTTCAATGTCAGCTCTCTCTCTGCTAGCTTTTAGCAATCTCTGCAATCTCTTTGCACTTAAAGTTTCTCACATCTGAAATAAGGATGCAAGGTATGCTGATCACAGAATTGTAGTTGGAATCAAACAGGACCATGTAGGTTAAATTGACATAAACATGCCAGTTGTTAGGCATATTTATTTGAAATATTCGATGAAAATATCAATACAGAAAGTCTACTTCTGGCTATGATGAATTACTGTTTTAAATAACATTTCCACTATGAATTAATAACCTGGGAATGAAAATAATTGTGTAAAATATCAATTTGAATACTTTTAGAGAACCAGTAAGGCAGTAAAGAATTACAAGGTCTCCAGATAAGGAAAGGGGAGGACTTGAGAGGTGAGCCTGTGTTAGGATCTGCTTTTTTCCTACAGGCATCTGCTTATTCCAAAGGCATGGCTAAGAAGCTGTATATAGCTTTTTGTAGATTCACAGGCCTAAGGAGATAAACACTGGAGTTAGGGGCTCACCCTTGTAATAATCCCAGCTTTAGACTGTGATCTCAAAAGGCTAACACTGAGAAGTTAAGTTAGAAGTATACCAGCCCACATAAAAACTGAAGTCCAATTTAGGATCACCTTACATTGTCTCTAAAAATTTTTGTTTGGACAGACCTCATGTGTATCACTTTCTGGATTTCTTTTCATTCTTTTGTTTTTCTGGCTTTTGGTTTGGCAGTCTTGCCTCCTATTTGACAACAGGTCTCTTCCTGGTTTTAGAGACAATGTAAGTCTACACGAAGTCTGTCCAGAAAAAGTCCAACCACTGTTAATATAACGAGAACTGTTTGTGTGACATAGATGCAACCTGGCAGCCAAGGAGAGTGGACTGGAATGTGCATGCATGAACAATGACAACTTCACTGTACTAGTCAGTGAGAGCAGTATGTGTCACTGAGAAAGCATGTGTACTGTGTGGCCGTCGTATTCAAAATGACTGAGTAGAGCAATGGATCTGCATCAGATTTTGCATTGTGCTTGAACATTCCACTGTGGAAACTATTTGGATGACTCAGAAGGCTACAGCTATGGGCAACTGGTGGTTGGCAGCTTCATCATGACAATGTGCCCACTCATGCATCCCGTCTCATGCAGAGTTTTTGGTGAAACATCAAATCACCCAGGTGACTCAGGCCCCTACAGGCCAGATTTGGTGCTCTGCAACTTCTGACTTTTCCAAAAACTAAAATTGCCTTTGAAAGGGAAGAGATTTCAGACCTTTGATGAGATTCAGGCAAATATGACAGGCAGCTGATGGTGACTGGGAGAACTGTGTGAGGCTCCAAGATTCCTGCTTTGAAGGGGACTGAGGCATCATTGTCCTATGTTCAGTGTTTCTTGTATCTTGCATCTTCTTCATTAAATGTCTCTAGTTTTCATAGCACATGGCTGGACACTTTATGGACAGACCTCATATAATGAAAAGTATCAGACACAGATTTTAACATAACTATGCTTAATATGTTTAATGAGCTAAAATGCAAGATTGATAATTTTAGTGGAGAATGGGAAGGTATAAAAAAGTATGAAAATTCTAGAACTAAAAAATAGGTGAAAATAACTCAAAATGTCCAGGAAATTCCTAGCATTGTCCAGGAAAGTAAAACAAACAAATTTATTTATTTAGTAAAAAACAAATTTATACTAGATCCTAATAAGTTAAAAACGGGTATTATAATCTTTAGGAAAATACTAAAAGATTGGTTAAAGCTATAAACTCCCAAGATATCAGAGGGGGGAAATGGAATAATAAAAAACAAACAAAAGAAGGCAAGAAAGAAAATGAAACATAAAAGAAGCTGAAAAATTGAAAAGCAAATAGTAATACAATAATAAATTTAAGCCAAACCAGTAATTCCATTACATGTAAATGGGCTAAATACTTCACTAAAACAATAAGATTATCAGACTATATTTACAAAGCAAAACTCAATGACATGCTGCTAAGAAACATGTCTTGACTATATATAGATATGGAAAAGTTGGAAGTTAAAGATTGGGAAAGACATATCATGCAAACACTGGACAAAAGAGGGCAAGTATATTAATACAGGTACATTAATATACTTATATCTGACAAAATAGACAAACAGCATTACTAGAGATAGAAAGACAAAACAATAAAAGTCTCAATTAACCATGAAAAATAACATTTCCAAATATTTTTGCTCTAAATATATAAAGTGAAAAACTAAAAAAGGTAATAGATCCACAATCATACCTTTTTATTAATAAGTAGTCAATAGCCCCCTCCTCCAAATCAGTAAAAATATAAGACACTTAAAAAACATTGTTCTAGTTTGATTCCTAGTCAGGGTTCATGCCCGGGTTGCGAGTTCAATTCCAGGTCAGGGTGCATGCCCTTGTCAGGAAGCGTAGGAGAATGCAGTCTCTCACTCTCCCTCCCTTCCCCTCTCTCTAGAAACAACAACAACAACAACAACAACAACAACAACAACAACAAAACATTAAAGCCCTGGCTGGGTAGCTTAGTTGGTTAGAACCTACTCCTGATACACCAAGGTTGCCAGTTTGATCCCTGGTGAGGGCACATACAGCAAGCAACCAGTGAATGTACAAATAAAAAGAACAACAAATCAATGTTCCTTTCCCTCCCCCTCACTCTCTCCCCCTTCTTCCCTCCCTCTCTAAAATCAATTTTAAAAGAACACTTAAAAACTTGACCTAATTGACAGATAACAGGTCTTAGAAAAAGCTGAAAAGGATAGGGTCTCAGGACTTTTTTCTATGAGAACAAACTGAAGGAAAGGTATATATATATACACATCTTTATATGTATATTATACCTATACTATTATTCTTTTCAACTACTTACAAATGACTAAATCATTTCTTTTAGCATTAGTCAGACCTCTTCAGATAGAGTGGATCCTACCCTGTCTCTTCCTTTATTTACCTGACACCCTCACCTGTCATATCTTTCCTTTCTTATCTCAAGGTCAGTCTTAACTGTACATACCCTTTAACAGTCAAATGTAAATTTATCCTAAGCAGCCTATTCTGATTGTCCCAGTGACAGATAATTTTCATTTATGATCCCATAACAACTTATACTCTTCCTTACAGAACTTTCTATACTTCATTATTTCACTTAGTACCCACCTTGTTCATTTTCAACTACAAAAGAAGCTTGGTAGATTCCATGCATGGTACAAATCAGAAATCTATACTTTGAATGACATACACAAAAATTTAATAATACTGAAAAAAATCATGCTAGCAATTAGTGTACTGATAGAATACATATTAATTAATTGAGGGTCATTAATCCCAGGGAGGAGTAGTAATTTGTAAATTAAGCCCCAATGTTTTGAAGGCTCAAAGTTTATGTAACCTTAAATATTAGAAAGACAAATATCTTTTAAACAATGAGGGACTGAGGTAAACATATTGCATAAATAATATTTATATTCTCAAAAGCCTAAAAATTCTTTAATATAAAATATTACTAGAAAACATTGTTGAAAGAAGTTAAAGAAAACTCATATATATGAAAAGACATCCATGTTCATGGATTGGAAAACAATATTGTTAAGATGTCTATACTACCAAAAACAATCTATAGATTCAGTCCAATTCCTAACAAAATCCCAATGTCATCTTTTGAAGAAATAGAAAAATTCATTTTAAAATTCCTTTGGAATCTGAAGGGACCCTGAATAGACAAAACGATTTTTAAAAGGATGAACAAAGTTGGGGAACTCATATTTCCTGATTTCAAAACAGATTACAAAGTTACAGTAATAAAACAGTATGGTACTGGCATAAAAACAGAAAAATAGACCAATGAATCAGGAAAAAAAGCCCAGGAAAAAACCCTCATGTATATGGTCAAATGATCTTCAACAAGGGTGCCAAGACCACACAAAGGGATAAGGTCAGTTTTTTCAACAAATAATGGTGGGAAAACTGGACATCCACATGCAAAAGAATGAAGTTAAACCTTTATCTTACACCATACACAAAAGTTAATCAAAATGGATAAAAGGCCTAAATATAGGACCTAAAACTATAAAACTCCTAGAAGAAAACCTAGGGGAAAAGTTTAATGATATTGGGCTTCTTTGGCTATGACACCAAAAGCACTGGCAATGAAAGCAAAAATAGACAAATGGAACGACATGAAACTCTTAGAGTTTTGTGCATCAAAGGACATAATCAACACATTGAAAAGGCAACCTTCAGAATGGGATAACATATTTGCAAATCATACAAATGATAAGGGATTAATATCCAGAATATATAAAGAACTGTTAGAACACAAAAACAAAAAAATCAAATAACCTACTTAAAAAATGGGCCAAGAAATTAAATAGACATTTCTTCAAAGATAATATACAAATAGCTAACAAGCATATGAAAAGATACTGAATGTCACTAATCATCAGAGAAATGCAAATCAAAACTACAATGGGAATCACCTCATACCTATTAAAATTGCTACTCTCCAAAAAAACAAAAAAGAAGAAGAAAATAACATGTGTTGACAAGTATGTGGAGAAATTGGAGCATTTGTGCACTGTTACTAGGATTATAAAATGATCCACTATGGAAGACAGTAAGGAGATTACTCAAAAAATTAAAAACAGAATTACCATATGATCCAGCAATTCCACTTCTGAGTATTTATCCAAATGATTAAAAACAGGGTCTCAAAATGATATGTGCACAGCCATATTCACAGCAGCATTATCACAATACATAGGCAGTAGAGATGATTCCAAGATGGCTGAAGAGTAGGTGGAACCTACACTAACCTGCTGCTGGCCCTAGACCAGATTTCCTGCTAAATTGTAGAGCAATCAACCTAAATAATAAACTGAAGGCTAGCTGAATTTAAATATAACCAAAGATTTACAAAAGAAGCCCCACAGACTGGTAAGAAGGGCAGAAATGTGAAAAGGGCTAGTTTCTGCACCAGGTGCTCAGTGACCAGAGGGATATTGGGGCTGCAAAACTCCTGCCCCCGCCTCAGGAAGTTAAGGTCTTAACCCCATGCAGGGATCCCCAACCCAGAGCAACAGAGACAGGAAGAGGAGTCTGCATAGCATTCAGCCTGCCTGGGAGACCCAGATGCCACCTTTTCAGGGACGAGCACTCCTATTGTTATAGCACCAGCCTGGGGAGTGCAGTGTCTGGTCTCTGACTGCTGGTGAGCCCACTCTGCCATACTCAGGTCCTGCGGAGGGGTGTGCTAGCTACAGCCAGCAATGAGTCCTCTTATTCTGGGTCCTCTTATTTGGGGTCCTCTTATTCTGGGAAGGTTCTTGGCAGAAACCCAGACAATGACTAAACTGTGTGGCTTTGGAAAGAGGGACCATGTGCCCCACTTTGAGTGCATGGAGGGTGCCCCTCGCTCCACCTGTTGAATCGCTTAGCTGGCCTCGTCCTGCTGAGTTCAGCTGAGCAGGGAACCAGAGTGTCGTGCAGAGCTGGGACTTCTGGACAATGTCTTACAGGGAAGATTTCTGTCTGAGAACCAGATGGGTGGGGACTGGGGTGTGGTGGCTACATCGCAGTGAGGAGGGCCATTCATATCTCCCTGGTAAGCTTAAGTCTGGACTATCCTGGAAAGGGAAAGAAGTACCTGCCCACTTCCTATAGGCTTGTGGGCATCTCCCTCAATGGGAGACTGCTCGGATCAGCCTTGCCAAGTTCTGGAAACTCTGCTCCACTGGGCTCAGTTCTGTGGGGAGAAGGAAGGGCAGCTCAATGTGGGGACATTAAAAAAGTGATTCCTTCTGAGGCTGTTGTGCTTAGCCTAGTCCTGCAGCCTAGGTCAGCATTACCCCAATGGGAGAGATTCTTTTGATCTGTTTCCCTGAACCCTGGGTGGCTGAGTTTGCTCTGGCAGAGGAGACATCTGGCTGTACCCATTCTGAACCTACCATGAGTGCCCCTAGGGGGAACTAGAGTTGAAAACTCTGGCAGAAACTGAGTGCTTTAGTTCTGGAGTAGGGGCAACTTTCCTCTCATTGAGTGCCTGACTGCATGATCTCCAGGTAGGGGTCACACTAGCCCTATTCTCCCAACCCTAGTTGCCATGCCCTACCAAGCTCCCAAACTGTGGAAGGAGCTTGGTTCATGCCCAGCCTGGGTCCACTCTAGTCTTCTTTGAAAGACTCTAGAGGAAGACCAGGCAACTCCAAGGGGAGGTGGAGTAGCTGACAGGTGGAGGCAGAACACAGGGAGCCTCAGTCCTTTTACAGATCTGCCCCCTGTTCCAAGCTGGAGGAAGTCAACCCTTATGCACAGATTGGCCCCTCCCATGCACACCCAGGTCCAGCAGACACAACCACAAGCAGTAAACAGCATAGTAACTCCAAGACTGATTACACACACATCTGACATTGACCTGTACCTGAACCATGCCCAAGTGGACCCAGAACCAACACAACTAGTGGTGGGCTTCAGACCACCCCAGAGCTTGACCCAAGTGGCCACACAAGGGGCACACCCAAAGGGGAATGCCAGCAGGCATCAGACCCTGATGGGAACAACTCTACCTAAAGGGACAGCCCCTGCATGGCATCTCATTCATGGTGATTGAGGTTTACCCTTAGGGTCAGCCAGCCTGAAGGGTTAACTCTACCCACAAAAGGGCCAACAGCATTCAAGACTCATCTACAACAGCAGGATACACATAACCCACAAGGAACATTCCTGGAGCATGGGACTCAAAGTAATCTAGGAGATTGTACCCCTGATCCCAACAAAACACCTTCATCATAAAGTCAGCATAACAAGTTTGTAAGTCACAGCAGATCTATCTACTACACAGAGACAAAATGGGAGACAAAGAAATATGCCCCAAATGAAAGAACAAGAACACCTCCCAGAAAGAGAATGAAATGAAATGGAAGCAACGAAAAAGCCAGATGCAGAGTTTAAAACAATGGCTACAAGGATACTCAAGGACCACAGGGAAAGAATGGATGATCTCAGTGAGAACTTAATGAGACAGTAAGCATTAAAGGACACATAAACTGAAATAGAATGAGTCAGAAATGAAGAATCCACTAGAAGGAATCAACAGCAGGTTAGATGAAGTAGAGGATCAAATCGGTGATTTAGAGGACAAGATAACAGTAAGCACCAAGCAAAACATCAAAAAGAAAGATTTTTTAAAATGAGAAAAGTCTAAGGGACCTCTGGGACAATATCAAGGATAACCACATCAGCATCATAGGGGTTCCAGGAGAAGAGAGAGAGCAGGGGATTCATAAACTGTTTGAAGAAATAATGGCTGAAAACTTCCCTAACCTGGTGAAGGAAAAAGTCACCCAAGTTCAGGAAGCACAGAGAGTCTAAATCAAGATGACCCCAAAGAAACCCATATCAGATACATCATAATTAAAATGGCAAAGGTTAAACACAATGATAGATCTTCAAAGCAGCAAGAGAGAGACAGTTAACTACAATGGAGCTCCTATAAGGCTATCAGCTGATTTCTCAACAGAAACACCAGGAGGGACTGGAGGGACTGGAACGGAATATTTAAAATGATAAAAAGCAAGGACCTGCAACCAAGACTACTCTATTCAGCAAGACTATCATTTAAAAGTGAAGGCGAAATAAAGAGCTTCCCAGACCAAAAAAAAAAAAAAAAGGTTAAAGGAATTCATTACAACCAAACCAGTACTGCGAGAATTACTAAAAGGCCTAACTTAACAAGAAAAAGAAATATAGAGAGTGAAACACAGGTATAAAGAATAAAATGGCAATAAATAACTACTTGTCAATAAAAACCATAAACGTGAATGGATTAAATACTCCATCAAAATACATAGGGTAGCTGAATGGATAAGAAAACATCACCCATATATATGCTGTCTATAAGAGACCCACCGCAGAAAAAAAAAGATGTACAGAGACTAAATTCAAGGGATGGGAAAATATTCCATGCAAATGGAAATGAACAAAAGACTGGTATAGAAACACTTATATCTGAAAAAATAGACTTCAAAACAAAGCCCATAACTAGAGACAAAGAAGGTCACTACATAATATTTGAGAGAGCAGTCCAACAAGAAGATAAAACCCTTAAAAACATATGCATCCAACATAGAAGCACCTAAATATATAAAGAAAATTGGTGGGCATTAAGGAATAGATTGACAGAAATACAGTCACAGCAGGAAATTTTAACATCCCACTGTCATCAATGAACAAATCTTCCAGACAAAAGACTGACAAAGTAACAGCGACTTTAAACAACACAATGCATCTGATGGATTTCATTGATACTTACAAAACATTTTGTCCCAAAGTAGCATAATATACATTCTTCTCAAGTGCACATGGAACAGTCTCAAAAGAAGAGCACATGTCAGGACACAAAATGAGTCCTATCAAATTCAAGAAGACTGAAATCATATCAAGTATCTTCTCTGATCACAATGGTATGAAACTAAAAATCAAGAGCAACAACAACAAAAAATTGAAAAACATTCAAACGCATGGAGGTTAAAAAGCATGTTATTAAACAATGAATGGGTAATAATGAGATCACGGAAGAAATAAAATATTACCTGGAAAAAAATGAAAATAAACAAACGACGACCCCAAATCTATAGCACACAATGAAAGCAGTCCTGAGAGGGAAGTTCATAATATTACAGGCCTACCTCAAACAGCAAGAAAAATCTCACATAAACAATCCAACAAGAAACCTCAAAGAACTAGGAAACGAACAAAAAACAAAGTCCAGAGTTAAGTAGAAGGAAGGAAATAATAAAGATCAGAGTGAAAATAAATGACAAAGAGATTAAAAAAAAATAAAACAATACAAAAGATCAATGAAACGAAGAAATGGTTCTTTGAAAAGGTAAACAAGACTGACAAAGCTGACCTCCTTTCAGGGCCAATCTGGAATTACAACTAAATTGTGGAGAAATCACCTGGAATAAACAACTGAAAAATAGCAAGATAGGAACCTTACAACCTTGGACAGACAGAAGAATCAGCTTTAGAACAATCTAACTGATAAGGAGTGCCGTAGAGACTCAAGAAGGCGAGCGGGGTGCCCATGGGTGGCAGTACCAGAGGGATATTGAAATGACCAGTTGGATCCCCCTGAGAAGACTGGGGTCTAAACCAAAAGTAGGGATCTCCAGACTACAGCACCAGAGCCCAAAGAGTACACAAGAAACAACCAGCTGTAAAAAGAGGCAGAACTGCTCTCTGCCAGGGACAGGAGGCTGGAGATGCAAAGAGCCATTCAAAGGGCCAATGCATAAATTTTTATTTAAAGCCATGTACCCTGGTCTCTGGAAAAGATGGGGGCAGAGTGGGCTAGGGACGCCTGAGGAGAGACTGGGGAAGGAGGCTCTGGGGAGAGAACTGAGAGAGTAGCCAGCGGGATCCTGGTACTGACTCATCCCCCATGTGGCAGCAGCCATCTTGATCAGGCAGATACCACTCCCCTGAGCGGCAGCAGCATCAGAGGATCCAATACCCCTACCCCCAGGTGGGATTTGACCCTGCCCTGTGCTGTCTGAGCCACTTGCTGACTTCAGAGTGGCAGCCACAGATAATAGATCCCTGGCTAAAGGGGGCATAGTCTAGAGACACTTGAGGAGAGACTGGGGATGGAGGCTTTGGGGAGAGAACTGAGAGAGTGGCTTGCATGGTCCCAGTGCTGACTCCTCCTCCATAAGACACCAGCCATTTTGCTCAGGCAGAGACCACAGCCCTGAGTGGCAGCAGTGTGAGAGGACCCAGTAAACCAACACCCAAGAGGGACTCTGCCCTGTCCTGAGCTGTCTAAGGCTGCCTGCTGAGTGCAGACTAATTAGATTAACAGTTGAAGGAGACAGCCACAGACAGTAGTTTCCTGGAAGTTTCAAACAGACTGCCTAAGGTCAGACAGGAACAACATCTGACATCATCAGAGGCAGATCCAGAAAGTAAAAACAATGATTTCCTACCAGAGAAGTTCACACCACAAAGTCAGGAAATCAAGACAGATCAACTTAAAAATCAGAAGCAAAAGAAAAGAGTCTCACAAATAATGGGAAGACAAAGAAATTCACCCCACTCGAAGGGAAAGGAGCAATCCCCAGAAAGAGAACTAAATGAAATAGAGGCCAATAAACTATCAGATACTGAGTTCCAAACAACAGTTCTAAAGAAGCTCAATGAGCTCAGTGAGCTCAGAGAGAATTACCAAAAACTACAGGGAAACTACCAGGAACTTACTGAGTATACTATATGAGCGTGAAAAAGGACATAGAAACTATCAATAAGAGACAAGAGGAAATGAAGAATACAATTTTTGAATCGAAGAGCACAGTAGAAGGAATCAAAAGCAGGCTAGATGAAGCTGAGGACCGAATCAGCAAGTTGGAGGACAAGGTAGAGAAAAGCTCCCAGAAAGAGCAAGAAAATGAAAAAAGACTCAAAAAGAATGAAGAGGCATTTAGGGAAATGCAGGACAACCTGAAACGTGATAATATCCATACAATAGGGATACCAGAAGGAGAAGAGGATGAGGAAGGGATAGAGAACCTGTTTGAAAAAGTCATGATGGAAAACTTCCCTGACTGGAGGAGAGAAAAAGTCACCCAAGTCCAGGAAGCACAGAGGGTCCCATTCAAGAGGAGCCCAATGAGGCCCACTCCAAGACACATCATCATTAAAATGGCAAATATCAAAGACAAACAGAGAATGCTAAAGCTAGCAAGGGAGAAAGAGGTAGTAACATATAAGGGAGCCTTGGTACAGATAGCAGCTGACTTCTCAACAGAAACACTGCAAGCCAGAAGGGAGTGGCAAGAAATATTCCAAGTCATGAAAAGCAAGGGCCTGCAAC